GCAGCAAACTTACAGGGAGGAAATATGATGAAGGAATAGGGAGTAAAAGCTAGGGAGTTAGGTCTCTGTCTCTCTCTCTGTGGCGATGGCGATCGACATGCTGGTGACGATGATCGTACTCTGCGTTGCGTAGGCATTCTGTTGTCGCTGCTGTTCGATTCACCTTCGCTCTTCGCTGCCGTCTCTTTCCCTTTCTAAAGACATCTCCTGGTCTGTCTCTTGTTCTTGAGTTACGCGTGTCATTATCCTTACGCAGGGGCCTTGCAAATCTTCTCTGTATTGTTCCAATTTGAACGCGCTGGGGGGCGATGCTTCTTCGAGCTCTCTTCTGCGCGCTGCCTCCTGCTTTTTATGCCCAAGTCTTTTCTCACACATATCACACCCCTTCACTGGCTTTGCCTTACCGCTATTGTATTTTTCATCGGCCCTCTACACGCCTGGAATCATTATCTCCATGGCTCTGTCGTTTCTGATCTCTCTCCTTCCAGCCTTCTGCGTCGCCCCCTCGCCATTCGCAGTGTACTCGTCCGCTCACTCCTCCTTCCCTATGCTCCCTCTCTCAAAATATTATGAATTACCCGGGGGCCGACCAGGTCAATGATGAGATCTCAGTGTTCGTATCCTCTGTACTGTTCCAGTACAGACGCAAGCTCGAATCCTGTTGAAGTACAGACCCAAGTTCAAATCCTGTTGAGTGTTCGACCCGGTGTGGTGGTGTACCCTGGATTACGCATAAACTACCCCGATCATGGTGTCTAGATCGACGTCGAGGTGTACCCTAGATGCGTGGGAGTACCTAATGGGGGCTCTGCATCTCCTGATCCGCGGGCCACTCTCTCTGTCCCGACTCACTTATTACATTATTTATATGTACTTGAAAAATGTATTTATTTTGGGTCCTCTTTCAAGTTTGTTGAGGCTCTTTGCAGGGTTTAGGGTGATCTCGGCGGGACCTCGATCATGATGTCGAGGCGTACGTCGCGCTGGGACCCCGATCATGGTGTCTTGGCGTTCGTCGCGTCGGGACCCCGATCATGGTTTCGAGGCCTACTACTCGCCGCGACCTCGATCATGGTGCTGAGGTCTGCATCTCGTCGGGACCTCGATCGTGGTGCTGACGTCTGCATCTCGTCGGGACCTCGATCGTGGTGCGGAAGCTTTCCAGGTTTGTTGGCGCTCCTTTGGCGAAGGGTTATCTCGTCGGGACCTCGACGATGCGTCCAGGCCCTACATCTCTCCTCTCTTGTAGATTTGTTGCAACGATCCCCAACAACCCGTAACAAAGTGTTGACGTCACTCAAAACTTCACCTCCTCCCCTTCTCGTCCTGCTTTCCTTCTTGTGCATCTCTTTTTCTCTCTCTCTCCCTCACTCTAATTATTCTTCGTCTTCTGTTTTTCTTTGATGAAGAAAGGCTTCGTAATGTGCGCCTTAGATCTTCGTTCTATTGATTCTCGCCTACATCGCAAAAGGGAGAAGAGAGAAAAGAGGGGTCGGATTTTAAAGTTGATAGCCAGACGCGCAGAGGGTGGCGGGTTTAAGGAACTGAAGGTTTGGAAGAGGTAGTAATGAGGGAAGGAGAGAGAGAGAGAGAGAGAGAGAGAGAGAGAGAGAGAGAGAGAGAGAGAGAGAGAGAGAGAGAGAGAGAGAGAGAGAGAGAG